GCTCCTCTTGCAAGGCATTGTGGGACAGGATGCCCAGAGCAGAGTCCCTTTAGCCTCTGGGTTGAGTCTACAGAAAGTGAGACACACACAGTCAAAGGGACAAGGCCCATGCGTCTGCAGCTCAGGGATCCTGGAGGAGGAGAAAGCTCTCAGCCCAAGGAGCAGCGTCCATGGTCCCAAGGAACCCCTCGAGAGATTAAAAAGAATAATAATCCACTTTCCTTCCCTAACCCCCAAGCTCCCAGTTTATAGGTGGGTTCAATTTAAATCTGTGGATGGGATGATAAAGTATCATTTTTTTTCATGTAGAGAGAGCTTTATGTTTATCGTCCATCTATAATCCCCTTTATAGTCCACTAGAGTCCCAGTGCATGAAATTCATGCCTGGAGAGGGTCCCTCAGCCCAGTCTGCTCACTCTCCAATCTGTGATCCCTCAGGGGATGTCTGACTGCCAGTTTAGACCCAATCAGACATCCCTCTTGCAACCCTGGACTGCTGGCTCCTAACTGCTCCCCTGCCTGCCTGCCTGATCACTTCTAACTGCCTCTGCTTGCAGGCCTGATGCCCCTAACTTCTCCCCTGCCAACCTGATCACCCCCTAACTGCCCTTCCCTGCCTATCTGATCGCCCCTAACTGCCCTCCCTTGCCGGCCTGATCGCTCCCCTAATTCCCCTCCCCTGCCAGCCTGATCATCCCCTAACTGCCCTCCCTTGCTGCCCTGATCGTCCCCTATCAGCCCTTCCCTGCTAGCCTGATTGCCCCCTAACTGCCCTCTCCTGACAGCCTGGTTGCTCCCTAACTGCTCTCCCCTGCTGGCCTGATCGCCTCAACCACCTCTGCTTTGGCCCCTGCCACTATGGCTCTGTCCAGAAGGATGTCTGGTCTAATAAGCATATTACCTTTTATTAGTATAGATTTGCAGGCCACTCTGTATTCATGGCTGTTTTAAAACACACCCTTACAGCTAGTAAACTGGTCTTCCAGTCCGAACGCCCAGGCCAGCGCTGTGCAGAGGGTGTGACCAGTGAGGGTTACAGCTGCGGCATTCCACACGCTGGGCACACAGACGCCTTTCTGCAGTCTCCCAGGCTGGCAGGTCTGGGCAGAGACTGTCTACCTGAGAGAATGAGGTGCATCTTATGAATCCTAAAGAGGCATTCTGAGTCTCAATCTTAGCAGTCCAGCTTTGTTCAGCGACTGGAAAGGATAATAAAGCAGCCTCTACGTTCGCTGAGTGGGCAGGCCCGCACTCCTGCAGTTCTGGGATGTGTCAAGGGCAATGGAAATCGCTCACGTCTAAGGGATTTAACATGCTCCCTCCTGCCTCACGCCGAGGACGGTGCGGCTGCTCAGGGGTCAGGTGCGGCTGCTCAGGGGTCAGGTGCGGCTGCTCAGGGGTCAGGCCAGACAGAGCATTAAGGAGGGAAAGCAGGCTTCTCACGTCAGCAGGACACAGCGTGGCTCTCACTTTTGTTTCAGTCCAACTGCTGTGGAGACGGACACCGTTCAACATAACCCATGACAGTTTTAGGCTTATCATTTTAATAGGAAGACGAATTCCCTGCCAATATACATGAATTAAAGTAACAGCCACTTATACAATCATTTCGGTTAAAAGAAATAAGTTTAAAGCAGTAAGCAGACTAGCTGAAACAAAGCATTCATTTGAAACTTTATTTTGAGCAGTGTGTGGGACTTGTAATATGGGATAAAAAAATGAAGGCAGCTGAAATGTCAGATTTTTAAAACGCACTCTGGAGTTTACTGGGCAGGTTAAAACCCGAGACCGGATGGGAATTTGTTAAAAAGGGGGTCATGTGTAACATAAGTCAATACACACTTGGGACTGACCAATGACCTTAAGCGCAGAGGTGAACTTTAATGAACATGATTCAGAGGGTCAGACACAGAATCCACTAGGGGGCCAACAGGCTGGCAGGAGAGGGCAGTTAAAGGAGTGACCAGGCAGGCAGGGGAGGGCAGTTGCGGGGGAAGTTAGGGGGGCAATCAGGCAAGCAGGGGAGAGAAGTTAGGGGGGCAGTTAGGGGGTGATCAGGCAGACAGGGGAGGGCAGTTAGGGGGTTAGTTAGGGGGATGATCAGGCAGGCAGGGAAGGGCAGTTGGAGGGGCAGTTAGAGGGGCGATCAGGCAGACAGGGGAGGGCAGTTAGAGGGGCAGTTGGGGGGGCAATCAGGCAAGCCTGAGAGGGCAGTTGGGGGGCAATCAGGCAGGCAGGGGAGGACAGTTAAGAGGGCAGTTAGGGGGGCGATCAGGAAGATAGGGGAGGGCAGTTGGGGGGGCAATTAAGCATTCAGGGGAGGTCAGTTAGGGGTGGCGATCAGGCATACAGAGGAGGGCAGTTAGGGGGTGATCACTAGCTGGGCAATAAGAAAAGCCTGGATCCATCGGGCAGCACAAAAGGTGACCACAGGCCATTTCAGAGCACAGTGTCTTGTGGACGGTGGCTCTGAGGGTACCTGAGCCTTATCTCCCACTGGAAGAGATGGTGGGGTGACCCAGGAGCCTGTGCACGGTGGGAGTGAGGCCAGTGAGGCAGAGACCTGGGCTGCCCAATCTGTGAGCAGCAGAACCTGCTTCTCACCCACTGAGTCCTGGCTCTCGAGGGGCTTGATGGGAATTAGCTCTGGGCACCGTTCTTGGTGACAGGAACTGAAGAACCAACTTGGAGAAGTTCTGTTGTAAAAACTCCTTTCTTTAGCAGGTGAGCACACCCCAAAGGTCTTACTCTTCCTGCCTATATTATTCATAAATATACAAAAGAGTAAAATAAAATTAAGGAATTAAAATAGACATAATCAATACAAATGTGATATGGAAGAAAACAACACTAAACATGAATGAATAATTCAACTGAAATGAGATCTATTTTTTTAAAAAAAAATCTAAAATATCCTATATAATAAAGAGGTCATGTGCAAATGGTCATCAACCTGTGATGCATAAGGACCCATGAGCTGGAGGGCTGTGGAGAGCTCGGGGGGGCGGGGGGGGCGGGGTGGAGAGCTATGAAAGGTGGTGAGTGGGGCGGCCAGCTGAGGCCATTGGCAGCGAGCTACTAGTATAAAATAATATTCTAAGTAGAGTGAAGACAATGAATATCTAGAAAATAGATTCCATAAAAATGTTAGGAGGCACTCAACTTAATAAAATATTAAAATGCAGCAGTTAACATCAGAATTCTAAATAAAAATATTAGCACAATCCATATACACAATACCCTGTTTCCCCGAAAATAAGACAGTGTCTTATATTAATTTTTGCTCCCAAAGATGTGCTAGGTCTTATTTTCAGGGGATGTCTTATTTTTCCATGAAGAAGAATATGGTACACATTTATTGTTAAATAAAAATAAAGGCAATTTATTACCTGTATACGGTACGGTAGTACGGTAGTTGTCAACACAAACTGTGAATCCTACAGTATCAAGAATTTACTTATTTATTCAATGACACTCATGTTATCTTCTGGAACATCATCATAACAATCCAATTCCTGAATTTCCTGGTGAATTTCTTGTGACTCCATTTCTTTCAGAATCAGTGGACCAAATCTCTCATGGTTAGCAATAGCACTGTCTTTAAATGAGTACTTCTTGTCAAGGTAGCCTGCTCACAGTGCATTTGCAATGCTACTGTCAGTGATTTTCTCCCATGAATTCTTCACCCAAGTCACAACTTCTTGCAGTTTAGGTTTCACAAAGTTTCTGAGACAGAGCCTGGGGGCGGGGGGGGGAAGGGGCGCTTATTTTCGGGGGGGATGCCTTATATTTCACTCAGAAGGAAACCTGTAAGTAGGTCTTATTTTCGGAGGATGTCTTATTTTCGGGGAAACACGGTATAACCAAAATATTACTACAAAGATGTCATGAATAAAAAGATTGTGGTTGTTATTAAAAGATTTAAATGATTGAAAAACTCCCCATTTTCTACCAGGCTCTTCCAGGCTCACGTAGACCGCACAGCTCGTGTCCCCAAGGGCGGAGGCAGGCAGAAGCTCATCTGTAAGATGCTCTGCATTGGTAACCGGGCCCGGCCTGGCATTCGGCCGGTGGCAATGACGGCTGGGTGTGCAGGAGACTTACGCCCCGTCTCCTAGCAGGCAGCCAGGCTGGGCGGGGGGCACACCACAGGCGAGAAGGTGGGGCGAGATCCGTGCTCCTCGACGCCCCAAGACACGGAGGAGCTGTCACCCCATCTCTAAGCAAGACTGTGAGCCTTAGCGGACGGCAGCAGTGAGCCTCAGCCTTGGTCTAAGGCAGTGGTGGGCCAACTCCTTAGTCCACAGAGCCAAATATCAGCAGTACAACAACTGACATTTCTTTGGGGAGCCACATTTTTTAAACTTAAACCTCTTCTAACGCCACTTCTTCAACACAGACTCGCCCAGGCCGTCGTATTTTGTGGAAGAGCCACACTCCAGGGGCCAAAGAGCCACACGTGGCTCACGAGCTACAGTTTGCTGACCACTGGTCCAAGGTCCTCTGTGAGAGGAGGTAAAGGGTTTGTGGCCAGCATCTCCATGGCCACCTGCCCTCCTGACAGGGTCTCAGCGGGCAGCCAGCACGGGGGAAGGAGATGTAAGGATGGGAGATGTGGCCTACAGGACGGTGGGCATGGAGGGGGTCAATGGGAATGCAAACTCAACCTATTTGGTAGAATAATAATGAAACGGCAAGAAAGAGCAACCTTGAGAGAGGTAACTGAGAGACTACACACACGGGGAGGCAGATCCACGCTACCAGGCAGGCGACTTGGTCTCCTTGAGGGCCCAGGATGGGGCAGGTGCACGTGGAGAAAGTCTGGGCAAGAGGGTGGTGGTCCCTATTAAGTAATGGCCATCCTGGGGGTACACAGAGCCCTCAGTGACCCAGTGCAGGGGTCACCAGAAACACAGCGAATCTGGAAGGGCAGTGGGAAGACTTTGAGACTGTTCCAGAGATTTGAGAGAGGACACACATGACCACCAGCAAGCCTTGCAGAAGGAAACACTCTTTATTGATGCTCCTTCCTGCACTCAGATCCCCAATGAAGGGTCTAGCTCGATACAGACCGTGTGGAGGTCATTCCTCCCCAGATGTTACAGAATGGAGAGTGACTTCTGAATTAACGCTATTCCTTAAGCCATCCTAAAACCCTTACATTGGTATATTCCCTGCAACGGTGGAAAATAAATATAGTAAATTTGAGAATTTTAACATACAAAAATGTTCTAAGAACTTATTGTCTACTAGTTTGACAGTTCCTGGAAGAATACTATGTACTTTGCATAGGTTAACTCTATCTCCAGACACAACATTGTCTTCACATGAATTTCCATGGTTTGTTGTCTGGAGAGCCAGTTGTTTGGGAAATTTAGAAAATTGAGTATAACAGCGTTAGCACAAACAGAAAAGCAGGTGGATCTGCTACAAAGAAGGTGTCGAAGTTGAAGAACTGATAAATCCAGAGATACTTTGCGGAACTCCGATAGTCAGAGATGTCTACGGATAGAAGATACTGTCTACGTCTGAAACCAACTGTCACTGTATGTTCCCTACACGGTAAAACCAACTAGAAACAAACGTTTGTTTTACTTAAATATTTTAACAAAAATTTTATTGCAAGATATATTTTTTCACTGCATGTACAGTTTCAAGGAACGTGGTGTACAAAACATAGTGCCAGCAGCTCTGTCTAAACATTAAGGGGGTGCAAATCCACAAAGATTTAAAAAAAGAGAGAGAGCGTATTTTACAACATACATTACAGTCCTATAAATATGTTATGTACATTATACACACTCTTAAGACATCGACTTAGTATACAGCATATGTTGTGTTGATTTTGAAATGGTTCAGTGCCTTGATACTAATGTTCTACATCGGAAATTAGGATTCCACGTGCATCCCTAGACTTACAGTAAGGGCGATCCTATCGGAAAAGCACGGTGTGGCTGCCTCCTCCCCACTCTCAAGGGGCAATCACCCCTCCATGGGTGAGCACCCGTGCACACAGCCACCATTTTCATTGCTCTCTCCCCCTCTGAGGGCGTGACTAGAAGAGGGGCTGCAGCGGGATGACTGCAGGGTGGGGGGCCAGCAGGGAGGGGAAGAGGGCGTGGGGCAGCGAGGAGAAGGCCAAGGGGCTGGGATGAAGGACCGAGGCTGAAATGATGGGCATCGGAGGAGGCGGGACTAACGTGGGCGGGCTCCCAGCACAGAGTCTGGCGCCCAGGGGTCCCCTGGAGAGGGGAGTCTGAGGTAAGGATGTCCCGGCGAGAGGGGGGGCCTGGGACAGGAACTGCTGGTGCGGCTGGAGCACTTTGAGGGCCCCCGTCTGGTGGTGCAGGACGGTGTGGTGGATGGTGGTAACAGAGGTAGAGCGTAGGGGCTGCTGCAGGGGCAGAGGCTGCAGGGGCAGGCCGGGCGGGGCCAGGGTGGCAGCGGGGAAGGCGAGCTTGACCTTGTGGGCCAGCAGGCCCGGCGGGAGGAGGTGCTGGTAGACCTCGCAGGGCAGAGCTTTGCATTTGTCTGGGGCGTCCATGGGGATCAGCAAGGCCTGCTCGGGCAGAGACAGCGGGGCCAGGATCTGCTCCGCGGTGACCACGGTGTGGCCGCTGGCCTGTGCCTCTTTGAAGGGCAGCGGGGGGTGAGCGTGGAGGATCCCTCCAGGGAGACGCAGCCACTCGGGGGAGGCCTCGGCCGTGGCTGCCTTCCCCAGGGGGAGGGCCTCGGCCGGCTCCTGGTGGCCCAGGAGTGACGTGGGTGGGGGCTGCTGGAAGGTCTGGTCCCTAGGGGGCACCTTGGGAGGCACCTGCTTTTCCCTGATAAGCACAGTCTGGCTTCTGTCCTGGCCCCTCCGCCGGCTGCCGGCCATCACTTCCTCTGCGTGGACACAGCGGGGCTCATTGGGAACCCCGGGCCCTGAGCTAGAGGCGGCCACGGTGGCCCCAGGCTCAGCTCCCTTGTCACTGCCAGGAGGCAGGGGGCTGCTGGGGTGGGGAGTCGGTGTGGGTGTGGGCTTTACCGGGTCTGATTGCTCTGAGTTCCTGTCCACGTTTGCCCCGTCTTGTGGGCCTAGTTCCTCTCTGCTGTCTGTGTTTATGGACCCGCCCGGGGGGCCCGTGGAGACAGCTGCTCTCCCGGGGCGGCCTGCCCGCTCCCCGAGCTCCAGGGCTCCGTGTCGGGGGCGGAACCGGCCTCTTTTCCTCCTCCGTCTCCTCCTGGGCGGGAAGGGCCCCGGCGCTCGGGGTGGGGCCCCCGGTCCTCCCGGGAGAGCACACTGCGGGGTCAGACTGTCACCCGAGGAGGAGCGGGGTCTTCGTTTGCGATGGCATCTCTCGGACTCGCCGACGAGAGAATGGCAGCCCCGCTTGACGGCCTGGCTCCGGGGCACGCCGCCCGGGCCCTCTGGAAGAAAGACGCGCCCGTGACCCTGACCGCAGCGGGGCGCCGCGGCCCTGCAGCCGCAGGACGTGGTGGAGGGCGTCACACGACGGGGCCCAGAGGGCGCCACTGAGGGACCGGCCTGTCCACCTGAAACGGAGGAGCTCTCCGCACAGGGGTGGTGAGAACTGACGTTGTCACCGTGATTGTCTTCGGCGTTCCTCGGTTTACACGTTTCTGCTTCTCCGTTTTCACACAAGAGCAGACACGCCGAGGCGGGCTCCTGGTCAGGCGGTGGATGCGCGTCCAGCGGTGGCTCTCCAGCCGAATCCCGCTGCTCGGAGACCGGTTCCGGGCCTTTCCTCGTTGTGCCAGTGCAGCCCTTCTCCGTCTCCATCCTGCGGGGGGCTGCTGGCTCCTGGGCATTCTTCCCTCGCTGGTGGCGACAGACCTTCCTCCGTCTCTTCTTCCTCCGGCTCTTATGGGACCGGTGCTCCCGCACATCTTTCAACCTGGTTCTGTGGCCTTCCTCGTGAATGTTCCGTTTTATTTGCTTTTGGATAACATGGTACCGTTTTGCTTTTCTGCTCCTACAGGAACGATGTTTATGCCTCTGATCTATGCTCTCACTTTCTCCAGAATCACAACTACCGGAGAGAGACTCTGCAGCCGGAAGAGGGGGGACGGGGGCGGATCTGTGTCTGCTTCCCCCTCCGTCATCATCCGTGGGGCTGCCCTGGACCCCCCACTCCTGCCTCCTGCAGGTGTCACCCCCCTTCTGCTGGGAACAAAGGCCATGGAGGGGCGGCTTGCTTCTCTGCAGGTGGTGGTTGACTTTCGTGGACTTGAAGTCAAAGCAGAGAGGGTTGCAGCTGTAGGACACGGGCGGCCGAGCCGCCGTGTAGACCAGCATTTCCGACGGCCACTGCAGCACGGCGGAGCCGGCCTTGTTGAGCACGGGGACGAAGGGCTCGCAGGGCCTTCTGGGGAAAGCCAGGGTTCGACGTGCAGTCACAGCGCCCTCTTCGGAGAGGGACAGGGCCGGCCTCTCCGGGCCACGGGCTTCCGTCTCAGCGTCGATGGCGGGGGCATCCTCGTCCTCCGCCCGTTCCGCTGGGCTGGCCCCGCCGGGAGCTGCACCCCAACATCCCGGCGCCTCGGAGCAGGCACCGCTCTCCGACGTGTCTTCCCTCCCAGCAGCCTCTTTGGGGGGAGACGGATCTGCCTCCGGAGACACCGGGAGCTGAGGCTGGCTGGAGGAAGGCAGTGAAACTGTGTCTTCTCCTCCAGTGGCTCCTTCTGTCTCCTGCCCTGGAGCCGTGTCCCTGCAGGTGCACGGCCCCTCGGGCGGACACAGCGAGGGAGCCTTCTCCTGGGGGATCCGGAGCTCCTCTGCGGGGGAAGGCGGCCGAGGGTGACCGGGCCCGGGGACGAACCGGCTCCTCCTGCCCAGCCCCCGGGCCAGGGCGGCGTCCCCGCTGCCCTCGGAGAAGGCCGGGGCCGAGCACTCCAGCCGCACGGACACCTTCTTGGGGAACGCGAAGGAGAAGCCGGTCCTGGGCCCGTGGGCGCCCGGGGCCTGCTCCCCCCGCTGAGGGGTCCCGTCGTAAGGAGGTGCCCTTTCGGGGTCTGCAGCCCTGGCCATGCCCTCGGGCGCAGGCTCCTCATCGGGCATCACAGGACACCTGGCATCCTCCAGGCGAAGCACTGAATCCACAGCCACCCCCTTCGAGACGCCATGGCGAGCGTCTCCCACGGTCACCGTCGTGGACTTGAACATGGGACCGCTTCCCGGAGCTCTGCAAAGAGGAGCAGACGTGACGGCATGAGATGGGGCGCCTGCGGGAAGACCTCCGGCACATTCCCCTGGGAGACGACGTCTCTGTGACATTTCCCCACGCCCTGAGTCTCCGGGGGAAGGGCCGCCCCGGGGTCAGGTGGCAGCCGGTGCAGCTGCTGCAGGGTCACTGTGTGGGAGCTGCGGGGGGCGGGCAGGAGGCAGCTGTACAGCTGTTTACTGCAAAGGCGGGGCGGCCCCCTCCTCTCAGCCAGTGCTCTGGACTAGGACTGTGTGCCCATGTCATCTCTTTTCTAAAATAAAATTACTTTCCACTCACAAATATTTAACGTAATACTGTATGGAGATTAGGAAGGGAATGAAAGAAAAACCCCCCATCATATATTTTTATTGATTTTTAGAGAGGAAGGGAGAGGAGGAAAGAGAGAGAAACATCCATGATGAGAGATAGTCATTGATCAGCTGCCTCCTGCACGGCCCCCACTGGGGATCGAACCTGCAGCCTGGAATGTGCCCTGACCAGGAATGGAACTGAGACCTCCTGGCTCCTAGGTCAACGCTCAACCACTGCACCACACCGGCTGGGCAAAAAAATAAATGAAATAAAAAATTAAAAAAAAGCCTTTCTTAGGTCATTGAGCCGCGAGGGAACCACGGAGACGTGAGTCTTACTCTGATACAGAATCAGTACATGTCTCCTTCACGTCTCTGTTTCCTCCCCTTTCTTTGTCATTCCGTTAGAGAAGAGGCCCCCCTCCCGCACACTCACCGCGCGGCCTCCTTCCTCAGCTCGGCCAGCCTGTGCAGGCGCTGCAGGGCCTTCGCCTGCTTCCGCTCATCCTTCCTGCCTTTCGAGGCCACGTTCCGCGCAAACTCCCTGTGCTTCAGCTCCTTGAGCCTCTGTGGGAGAAGCAGGGGCAGAGGGACAGTGTGGGTTGGCAGCAATGGCTAAGGTGCCGTTTAACCTCGCTTAAGGAAAACAGAACCTTTCAGACAACCCACCTCAAGCCTATTTCCTCACCCTTCTGGCTTGAGAAAATGCCAAAGCGTATGATTACCTCATATGGAAAGACCTACCTGAGCCGCAGAGAGAGGAATTGAAAAGTTGTGTTACAGAAAACTGGTGAAGAATCAAACAACGCTTAGAGAGATGAAGCTATAATTATTATTATTATTACCAGTGGGTCCAAAGGAAAATATCTCTCAAATTCTGGGCCCCAACATGGAGGAACTTTCCCTATTTATATGTTTTTACCTTCTTTGTCTCCCAAATATGGGGTGTTTCAGTCCCCTTTGCAGTTATTAAAGAGCCCGTATGTGCTGGGGCCTTGAGACCTCAACCAGAGGCCTGGCCTGGTGCCAGCACTGATAACTTTGCCTGGGGAAGGTTTAATGGCCTCTCTGAAGTGGGAGTAGTCTTATTTTCCTTATTATTTAAACAAGCGAGCAGTTACAGAAGTCAAATAGCAGAGCTAACATGTCAAACAGCGGTTTTTACAGAAACTGGATGTTTCACTTGCATTGCTGCTCCTTGACCTTTTTCTGCCAAGGTCTCTCTGCCTGACTCAGGCACATGGTGGGAATCCTGCCAACCCCTAATTTCCACACGAAATCAGCTCCTATACCTCAGTTACACGTAACATAGGCATCTGGTAGTCTTCGTATGTCCTAAGAAGAGTAAATGCCTTACATTAGTCCATAAGACAAATGGCCTTTGCTAAGGGCATTAAAACAATCCCTCCTCTCCAATATTAGGTATATTTCCTAAATACTTCTAGACATGAGAATACAATGAGTAGTGTTTTGTGTAAACTCTTTCGACACTAGGTGTATTTCTCATTTGTATTAACGGGCTCGTTTTGGGGGTTTAAGGCTAGAAAAAGGTGTGCCCACTGGAACCGAATCGATAAACAGCATGTGGCCATATTTAAGAGACACCAACGTGATCCATGTCCCAAATATTGCACTAGTCTTTCCCAGTCACATGTATTGTTACTAAAAACGATTAAGATACCGTATCTCCTCATGAAGCACACATCGTTATCCAACTGTGAGCTGTAGAGAAAGGCTCTAAGAAAATAAAACATATACTTATCACATTCGGAAGTGATGGAACAAAGTTTTAATAAATGCCTTACACATATACACTGATGTGTGCCAAGGCTTAGGACATTGCTTGGTGTATAAAATGACGGCTTAATAAGTATTTGTTGATTTATATGTGAATCCTTTTAGATCCTTTAAATTAGGAATTTTCCTCCCTCAAAAATTAAAGTAATACGAATGAAATAATATTAGACTCCTGGGAATCCTGAGTTGTATTTGCTTAATTCCACCTGCATAGTATCATAGCTTAGGCTTCAAGTAAACTTTAAGATTTAGTTGATGGGGTTTCTATAAGATGTGTATAATTATTTTAAAATATTTCTGTTGCTCTCAGTCTTCCTCTCTGTACACACAATTCCCTCACCTCAGCGACAGCCTTTCTGATAAAGTGAAGCAGCTTGCCTCGTATTTAGGGAATAACCAGCAACTGAGCTTTTAGGCCTGTTCAAACACATTCGTTAGTTTTAGGCTAGCATTTATCCATCTTTGTATCCTTTCTTGTATTATTTTCTGCAGCAAAAAATGAAGTCCTACACCATATTTTATATCTGGGAGAGTAATTTTGGAAAGTAAATAGTAGAAACTGAGTAAGTTCTTTAGAGAGTGCCAAACAGAAAGAAAACTTAAGTAAGACACAAATAAATATAAAGATAATGGCTGTGAGGCTTCCTGGAAATGTCAGTGCTATTTCTAAAGCTTCCACAACCATTTACTGAGAATCCCTCAGAAGAAATCCGCAGTGATAAATGTCAAGTCAGAACGGCAGGCAGCAAGAATTAGAAAATTAGAACGTTGAAAGGAGTTAGGAGGAGGATGTGGTCTAGCTACTGTATCACAAATCACATTATAATGCACACTGGCATATCATCCAATGGATATGCATGTAGAGAAAGGAAAAACCTAAAGGATCAATATCCTCTGGTCATGATGCCATCTCAGAAGGCCCACTCCACTTTCCCACTGACTTCTGTCTACTGATCATCTAGACTCAGAGCAGTGGTTCTCAGCCTTCCTCATGCCGCGACCCTTTAATACAGCTCCTCATGGTGTGGTGACCCCTCAACCATAAAACTGTTTTCGTTGCTACTTCATAACTGTAACTTTGCTTTGGTTAATGAATTGTAATGTAAATATCTGTGTTTTCCGAAGGTCTTACGCGACCCACAGGTTGAGAACTGCTGCTGTAGAGCCTAAGACCATCGGAAAACACAGATATTTACATTACAATTCATTAATAGTAGCAAAGTTACAATTATGAAGTAGCAACAAAAATAATTTTACGGTTGGGGTCACCACACCATGAGGAGCTGTATTAAAGGTCGCGGCATGAGGAAGGTTGAGAACCACTGCGTTAGAGCACCAAAGGCCAGAGGGAGCAGAGGTCATCCATCTCACACACGGTCTCAGGAAGTCCACGGTGTTGGATTGTTGGGAAAGACGATGACCCTGCCTGTAGTTTACCTGGCAAAGGTCTAATCCATGTAAGAAGAGGGAGAGAGGGACAGGGAGAGGGGCACTGACTCATTTCAATAACTCATTTGTTTGTGCTTAAACTTTTAGGTAAAGTACATTGCTTTACAACTGCAAACCAGAATTTCACAAACATTCTCATGCCTATGTTTTGTACATCTATTTATACCAAAAAGGTAGGTGGTTCCTACAAACAGAGTTCCTACACACAAGTGCACTTTTTTGGGTTTTCCACAATGATATTTATAACTTTACACCATTTAAAACTCTTCCCAGAAGTATGAGTATACTAGAGGTACGGTGCACAGATTTGTGCACCAGTGGGGTCCCTTGGCCTGGCCTGTGGGGATCGGGCTGAATCTGGCTCTCTGGCATCCCTGAGGGGTTCCATATTATGAGAGGGTGCAGACCAGGCCAAGGGACCCTACTGGTGCACGACTGAGGCTGGGAGGGACTGAGGAAGGGCTCCAGGGCATGTCTGGCCCATCACACCCAATCCCGATCATCCAGACCCCAGCAGCAAGCTAACCTACCGGTCAGAGCAGAACTCTGAAGTCAGCCGTACTTGAATTTTCCCCTTCCTGGCACTGACTATAATCTTAACTTACAGACCCACTTAGGAGATGTGAAACCAGATGATTCACTTCTTAGTCTTAGACCACTTTCTCCCCCTTCGAAGTCTCTGATGAAACCTAAGTTCCTACTAGTTTCACATTTTTAGAACAGTGTTCCTATTGCCATCTTTTAGGGTGGATTTAGTCGGTGCTGAATAAAACATGCTGGGAGCAATCAGAATGGCCTGGTTAAGTGTTTTTCCTACTCCAAGTAAATTCATTATTCTTTTCAATGGTTCCAATACCTCTGTTTCTAGTTATATGCTTCTTAGTAAGTTAATATATTACCCACTATTACTGTTTTCACAGGCTTAAAATTTCCCTCCAATTCCCAAGAGTTGCTTCTATCAAGAACTATTTTCAATGGCTTTGAAAAAAAAAATCTAAGTATGCTTTCTATCTTGCAGAGAAGTAATATCCTCAAAGAATTACAACTCAATCACCAACTCTATTTCCCGAATCAATTTAGCCTTCTTGGAAGACAGCGTTCGGCGAGTGCTTTAGAATGTCAGCAAATGCATTCCTTCGGAGGAGGCTGAGGTGTGCGAGGGGATGGATCACACTGACTGTGTAATTTCCTCCCAGCCATTATTTAATCAATGCTATTATGCTGAGTGAACCAGTGGAGGGCTCTTTCTACGGTTCTTTCCCCATTACTGCCGCGGACGTGCAGCCTTCGGACTTCTCTGCTGGCAGCTCTAAAGGAATCTAATCTGTTAATGCATATCCGACCCGAACACCGTCTCTCCCCGAGGCCTCCCCTTCTTCAAATCCCATTAACGCGAGCTTCTCTTTGCGGACAGCAATATCAGGCCGGTTCGGACAGGAACGTATCTGCCATCTGTATCGTCTAGAACGGACTTCTCAGCCACTCAGCTCGTGTTCCCGAGTGCCGAGTCAGAGCCCCTAATGCGCTGTGAGGGCCTCGATGCTCCTCGGATCGAATGGGCACCGGAGGGCGGTGATGGACTTTCTCATGGGATGGAAGACCTCACACATTTGCTCACAGTACTATCTCTGGGAGTACAGGGGAAGCCATGCAAGCTCCAGGATAAGAACATGGACACTAGTATTTTAAAAAAATACAAAAACCATCTGAGTGGCCAGGAAATGAAGAACAATTAAGAATTATGATTCAGCCCTGATGAGTGTTGCTCAGTGGTAGAGCGTCGGCCTGTGGACTGAAGGATCCTGGGTTCGATTCTGGTCAAGGGCATGTACCTTGGTTGCAGGCACATCCCCAGTAGGGGGTGTGCTGGAGGTAGCTGATTGATGTTTCTCTCTCATCGATGTTTCTGTCTATCTCCCTTCCTCTCTGTAAAAAATCAATAAAATATATTTTAAAGAAAAAAGAATTATGATTCAGTGTCATAAGGAAATACTGATGTGGCTGTGACAGATAATGCTAACAGTTGTAAAATATAAGAAATATTGTTGTATTATGATAGTAATTTAAAAAATAGCATCTAATAATTCTACATCATCAGCTATATCACCATCTATGGCAATAAATGCCATGAATACATCCATCGATGTATCATCAAATGTATCTGTATGTGTAGAAAAAATGCTAAAATACACAAAATGTCAGTGATATTTCTTTCTGTCAAGTAAATCAGAACAATTATACTTTTATTTTCCACTAGATAGTATTTTTCCATTTTTCATTACTGGTATGTTTCTTTAAGGATCATTCTGGCATCAGAAGAGATGTACTTCCGTGGTGAATGCGTATGTCATCAGAAGGCAATGAGGAGCCACCTCATGACCCTCGCTATCTCCACCCCATTTCCTGGCCTCTAGCCTAACTGGAGACTTACACGTCTGCTGTGGGCCACACCAGACTCTGAGCTTACAATTTTTTTTAAAAAACAAATGTATTTTTATTGGTCTCAGAGAGGAAGGAGGAAGGGAGAAGAAGAGAGAGAGCGAATCATCCACGATGAAAACGAGTCATTGAACGGCTGCCTCCTGCACACCCCACCCTGGAGATCGAGCCTGCAACCCAGGCCTGTGCCCTGATTCAAGGTCAATGCTCGACCACTGAGCCACATCGGCCGAGCAATTCTGTCCAATCTTTTTATCTGAGAGCTGCACTTAGAACACGCGGAACTGAAAATCAAACACAAGTTGATTCTTCCTGGGCGAGCACACAGGCCCTCGCTGCGATGACACTTGCTGATGCAGAGTTCCTGAACCTGAGATCCAGGGAGGCCAACGCAAGTCACCTGTCCAAACCCTGTTCTTGATGCAGACCCGGCCCCTGGGAAGGCGGAGCTGAGAGAAATGGAGAGGAGAGTGGATGGCCGCTCCAGGGAGGTGTGGGCTGGGTGGTGACGGGGTTGAAGGAGGGAGAAGTGCCGATGGCAGGTACTGAAGAGCTCAGGAATGTGAGGGGCAGCACGGGGTGCACAGTCTCTCCTATCGCTGTGACTGCGGACCGGCCAGCTGGGCACGGGGAACATCAAGGGGAACACTGTGTAACTACATGCTTGTTATCCCGAAGCTGTGCACCTAAAACCAGCAGAAACAACACTGAAACACACACACACACACACACACTCACACCAAAGCTGTGCACCTAAAACCAGCAGAATACTGACACACACTCACTCACACACACACACACACACCCCGCTCCTGCCACAGCAGGAGCTGTGGCAGATGCTGTGGCAGATGCTCATGATGGGGCAGCCCAGGCGCTCAAATGCACTCACACACATACGAATGCACGCTTATACAGCTTCCAAACGAAAGTGCTAAGTGTGCAGTATGAAGTGTTTCCAGCTTCCACAGCGTCGCCTCCTGTTAAATTAGTAAACGGTGCCTCTGCTCCTCACCACAGGTGATTTACATGATGTGTCTCCCTCTAGGGCCCAAGGCCCCTGGGTGTTATCAAAAGTGACCTCTGGCCCAGCCTGTATTGCTAAGTGGTGAGCATTGACCTATGAACCAGAAGGTCACAGTTCTATTCCGGTCAGGGAACCTGCCTGGGTTGTAGGCTCGATTCCCAGTGCGGGGCGTGCAGGAGTGAATTCTTTCTCAACATTGATGTTTCTCTCCCTCCCTTCCTCTCTAAAATCAATGTATAAATTTTATTTAATTTACAGTGAGCCTCTGGGCTTCAGAATCGTAGCCTAGATCCTGCCTTATGCCACAGCTCCTCTCTGGACAGTCTACAGTCCGCCAACCTCACTAAACACTGAACGGAAAGGTCCTGTGATCTTGTAGCACCCACGGCTGACTGGAGTGGAGGGCAGCAGTAGCTAGTAAGTGTTCTCCAAACACGCACATCAAGGCACACACACTTCCAAGTGCCCAGTTTACACGGTGAAACATGCGTGTAATCATATGTCTTAGGTTTTTGGGAGGAGGAGCAATTTTCTCAGATGTATCAGCTCATGGGGAATGGCATTCCAGAATCATTTCGTAAAGCAAACGCCAGGGGATGCAGAATGAGATCGGCACTGTTTCCTGATGCATCTTAATGTTCAAACCACGCAGTGACGTAGGCATGTGCATGCCTTTTTAAGGAAGACAAAGAGTGGTGCTTCCACCAAACTTTCCGCTCCGCTAGTGTGCCACGGAGCTGCCGCCAGAGGAGCAAGGCCAGGCCGCCCTTCACTCTCAGCCAGCAATGCCCACGGAGGAGCTAACCTTCCCAGCACGGCCTGCCTGGCCAGCGGTGGAGATGAGCGAATGGAAGGAACCACAGGAAATACATACAGCAGGTCCATAAGCACTGAGGTGATCATTTCTCCCCTCTTCTTACTTATGCTCAACAACACTGAACTGACATTCCCGGGGGTGGGGGAGGGGGTGGGGGGGGCAGGGAGACACTGGTGAATGATGGCCATAAAGGAACAGATCCTTAGCAGGTGATCATTGAGCTGCTAGATGCTAGCTCACCAGGGCACTGGCCCACATAGGGGCACTGATAAAGGCAAAGGGGATGGGAGAATGCAATCTGCATCAGTAATTTAACTGCTGACCTCGTCATGCCCTTGAACTCATGCTAGCAGAGCGTTGAAAAAAATCCGCCTTGGATTTACAATTTACAATAGGGAAATAAAACAACATTAAAATAAACTTAATTACTGGTCTGATCGATGTTTCTCTGTCTCTGGATCTAAACCTCAGAAGGAAGATAGGGGAGGGTGGGGTGAGGGGGGAGAGATCACCCAAAGGACTTGCATGCGTGCATATGAGCCTAACTAGTGGGCACAGACAACAAGGGGGTGAGGGTAGGAGGGGGGAAAAGAGGGTCATGGGAAATAAGACACATATAACACCGTGATCAATAAAGAAATTTAAAAAATAAAAAATAAAAATAAATATGTAAATAAAATAAATTGGGCACATGTTAAGTACTTATTTAACCAATCACCCTGGTTATTTTTAGCATCTCATTCTTTTTTCATGATTTGTAGTAAATGCTTTATATAAAGAACTAGAAGTAAATTAACTTATATTTGATAAATATCATTAGCCGATTAAAATATTTAAACATTTATACATTTCAATATATTTAACAGATCCCTACCTGCCAAATATAAGTTTTGAAAATACTGCCAATCACTCAAAGGCAACTGAATGGTGTCTCTGTATTAACTGTCTGTTTCAGACTGCACATATGGCGCTTTTTTAGAAGTCTTACTATGTCATTAAATTATCACCCCAGACTGTCTCTAAACATCCTATAACAAAGGAAAATAAATAGAAAATGTCCTGCCCTAACCGGTTTGGCTCAGTGGATAGAGACAGCCTGCAGACTGGGGGGTTCCGGGTTCGATTTCAGCCAAGGGCATGTACCTTGGTTGCAGGCACATCCCCAGTGGGAGGTGTGCAGGAGGCAGCTGATCGATGTTTCTCTCTCATCGGTGTTCCTGACTTTCTATCCCTTTCCCTTCCTCTCTGTAAAAAATCAATAAGACATATTAGATAGATGATAGATAGATAGATGATAGATGATAGATAGATAGATAGATAGATAGGAAGAAAACGTCCCGTCCACAGAGGCCACACGATTCAGATTGTCAGCGGAGAGCCCAGCAGCGGCCCCTCCGCCCCTCACCTGCTTGTGCGCGTGGTCGTAGGAGTTGATGTGGTTGTCGAACTCCTGGTGCTTGTGGTACTGCTTGTCGCAGAGCTCGCAGTAGAAGTTGGCCTTCAGGTCCCCCAGCGCGTTGGCGATGGCGTTCTCCTTCTCTGCGTAACCCTGGAAAACAAGTTCCCAGGAGGACGGTCAGCTCTCCCTGAGCTAGCTGAGGAGAGAGAGAATCATAACCTCCAGGCAGCCGGAACAAGACAGCCAGCTCCAACCGATGAGATGAGAAGGAATTGTGAGTTAAAAACAGTGAAAAGGTCCTGACCGGTTTGGCTCAGTGGATGGAGTGCCGGGCCTGTGGACTAAAGGGTCCCAGGTTCGATTCTGGTTAAGGGCATGTACCTTGGTTTAGGGCACATCCCCCAGGAGAGGGTGTGTAGGAGGCAGCTGATCGATGTTTCTAACTCTATCCCTCTCCTTTTCTCTCTGTGGAAAATGAATTAAAAAAATATATATATATATATAAAGAAAAAGAAGTGAACGGTTAACAGAATCAGCCAAAATAGTGATGGGAAGAACAGAAGAAACACCAAGAAGAAAAGTAAACCAGAGAGAGAAATGGAAGCCCTGCTCAAACAAGCTGCCATATGAGAGCTTAGAAATAAGTGACAATTAGAGAGATGTGTTGATTCAACAGTCAGGTAACAGAAAACATCTCGCTGAATTCTGAACAAATCCAAAAATGTGTTTTTTATCAAGTCCATATGGATTACATCAACATTCAAGATTCTTTATTTGTGTTTGTTTATTTGATTCCCTAAATTTACCTATAGAGTAACATATCCATCACTGCTAGATTTCATTCCACTAATATGTTCACCCTGACTCAGGTCAATCCTAGGTTGAACATTCAAATATTCTCTAGTCTTCCGGAAGTCAGATCCTTTTCTGCCAGTTCTTTACCCAAACTGGAGAGGATCAAGCTGTCTTCGCAGAATGCGCTCATCACAATAAAGAGGGCTCTACCACCAAGCCCCGGATGATGGAAAACGCACCCAGTTATCATCTGCGTTCATTCACAAGCTCAAGACAGCACATGTCTGACTGTGGCTCTAGGGTTTCTTAAATCTACATGTGCTTGCTGCATCATGCCTCCTCAAACGCCAACATGAGTACAGTTTACATGTGGAAACCCGGTCCAAGCCTTTCACTGAAGTGCTGATACGAAGACCTAAATGTCAATCCTTACACAGACGGTACTGACCTTCTATTTACAGATCCTCTCCGACTCAACTCCTTTAAAAGCCCCAACACCACATCCCCGGGCCTGACAGGCTGCTCTGGACACGCGGTGGCCCTGGAACGTGGAGGTTCAATGGCTCACTCCTCCTGGTGGCCATGGCAATTGTCCTTTTCACCGAATACAGAGACTGGGATGGTCACACGGTGTGAATGTTTAAATTACTTCTACAAGCCTGGCCAGCGGGGCTCAGTGGCTGAGGGAGTGTCGACCTATGAACCAGGAGGTTAGGGTTTGATTCCTGGTCAGGGCACATGCCCAGGTTGGGGGCTCGATCCCCAGTAGGGGGCGTGCAGAAGGCAGCCAATCGATGATTCTCTCTCATCACATTGATGTTTCTCTCTCTCTCTCTGCCTCCTCTTTTCTCCCTGAAATCAATAAAAATATATTAAAAATAAGTAAATTACTTCTACAAAATTTAAAAGCGGTATACTAACTGTAATTCAGCGGAATGGCAAATTCTTGCCTTACATTATTGTACTAAGTGTTTGGGTCCACATCCTATTGTATATCATAATTTAACATAATCTGTCTGTACATCTTTTGGTACCAGATAAGTACATCTGCCATAATCTATAAATACACTGCCCACTTTCTCACTTTAAAAACAATAATCATTGTTATATTTTATTAGTTTCATCAACTGAATAGCAAGAGGTGATAAAATATAAAATCAAATTGTTACATAATTATATCAATTTCAAGAATTAATTTACCATTTCTTGGCAGATTTGTGGTGACTATTTTTTGATGACTTCCCCAATATGTTAAAAATGTTAGCTTAAAAAATATGAAAATAACTCATATACATGTACACTGCTTACCGAATTTTATAAAATCTTTAAAGTATTATTTTGTGGATTAGCCAATTTAAATGAAACAGAAATTAGCACCATGATTTCATGGCTCACATGTGCAAAGTAGAGATAAAATTCCCATCAACGTAAGTAATAACAGCAACATGTTTGGGTTCAAAGCTGAACTACTTATCCAAACAATAGTCTCTTGAAGAGCAATTTCTTTGCAAACCAGTTGATTCCCCCATTAATTATACTTTAAGTCAAACTATTTCCTCTCTTTAAGCATTTGGTTGTTGCTTTTCGGGGAGTAGTTTATTTTCCTTCCTAATGTTGACATCCCTCCAGAGAAGCAATCATTGTTTCCTTCTATTTTGTACGAAAGCCTGTGATCTTTGAATAAAGCAAACCTCTGTTCTCAGGCAAAGCACATCCTTCAGAAACGCTCGCCTCCCTGAAGTGTGTCAGCAGAGAGGCCAGTTTCCCCTCAGCGATGGGGATGGAAGGGTCCGGGAGGAAGGTCACTAAGGGCAGCGAGAGGCCACGCCACCAGCTCCCTCTCCGAGGGCCATCCTCCGTTTTTCAGAGTTCCCAGCTCACCTGCAGCCCCCAACTCCGATTTCTTAGGAGGGAGAGGAAGAGGGAGGAAGGGAAGGAGGGAGGAAGAAGCGGATCCCACAGGTCCTCTGGATCAGAGTGTGGATCCCCAAAACGTGGCTGACGTATAAGGTGGTGCTGACGGAGAAAGAACCAATGCCGCCGGAAGGAACTGGACGTAAAGCGAGGCCAACACTGGCAGAGCGCCCCCTGGGAAAGAACTTTCTACGAGCAAAGGCGAGGAGGATGAGCACGTCCCGTGTCAACCTCAGCTCTCCGGTGGCCGACTTGCAACCAGTCCATCAGCAATCAGCTCCAAGGACACCAGGCAGTTCAAGTCATGCGAGGAACAGGGGCAATTAATCTCATCAACACAGCTGGCGCCTCCACGAAGCCCAAACGGAGAAGGCAGCACCTTGCTGGCGTGACAAATCAACCCGGCCGGCAGCTTCCCCAGCCCCAGGAGCTTCGGATTAGCTGAGAAACACGTATGTTCCATGTCACTGCGCTCGGGGGGAGAGCGCACCTGAGCAGCTTTGCACATTGACTAGTAGATCCCTCCCTGAGCAGGACGGCCCTGTGGACAGGGTGACAGATGAGCCCCTCAGAAGGTACTTTACATGTATGAGAGGAGAAGGCGGGTTCCTGGCTAACTTCAGAGGAGTTCTACTGCTTCCCAAAGCCATACATGCCTGACTTTATTTCCTGGCTACACAATGAAACTGTCTTGCTGAGAAGAAAATAAAGTGAAATAACAGTCCTTCAAACTTTTACCTCCGTGCCTTTTTAGAAAACACTTTCTCCAGAGGCAAGCCTGGCCCTGGCAAGGATGGAAGTGCAACCCCCCACTTCCCCACGGGAGCAGCTCTGTGCAGGGGGAGGGGGCAGGGGGGGGCGCTCCCTCCCCTCTCCCCTCTCCCTGGGGCCAGCAGGCAGGAGCCCGCCCCCTCCCCTCCCCCGGGGCCAGCAGGCTCCCTCCCCTCTCCCCCGGGGCCAGCAGGCACTCTGGCTAACTCTACTTTGTCTTCAGTTCCAGTGGGCTGCTGGGCTGTGCATCTGACTGTGCTGAGCCCAGCAGGGAGGCCCATGGGGAAATAATCATAGGTTCCAAGTTCCCCAAAGGAAAGAGGTATTTTGCAAAGAGGAACATTTTAACTTGAAAAATGCAGGCCCAGGACTGGGGCTGTGCAGACAGCCCGAAAGAGGAGGGAGCACTCACGTGCTAAGACCTCCAGTGAGCTCTGCCCTCGGCCCTCTCAGCCCCAACACCACTGTCTTCACTGAACATGGTCAGCCTCCTGGTGACGGGGCGGGGATAGAAAGTTGGGGACCAGAATGTTTTGATCTGCAAAACATTCAAACCTGTCTTTTAATTTAAATGTATGACTGTTGTCAGCCTGTATATTTCAGGAAGTTGCTATTTTTTTAAAAATGTTTTTTATTATAGCAGAGAGGAAGGAAGAGGGAGAGGGAGGGAGAGAGAAGCATCAATGATGAGAGAGAATCATTGATCTGCTGCCTCCTACTGAGGATCCAGCACGCAACCCGGGCATGTGGCCTGAGGGGGAACCGAACCCTGACCTCCAGGTTCATAGGTCAACGCTCAGCCCGAGCCACGCCGGCTGGGCAGGAAGATGCATTGTCAGTAGTGCCGACAGAAGGCAACCCAGAGGCTGCAGAGAAGGACACTGAGCTGAGGGCAGAGAGGACGGGAGGGGCTCCCCCAGTGCCTGCTGCACCCCGAGGTGGACCCGCTTCCGGCAGCGACCTGAGCCTTTGACACGTAAAGATGGGGCGGCGCTCAGACACAGAGAGGGCACAGGTCCATGCTGACAGAAACGTACATTAACAAAAAGCATTTAAGCAACATGGTATAACAACAACTTCTGTAAAGAATTGGACGTTTCTGTAAACGACGTTCTAATGGTAGTTTTCCTAGTGATCTTTGGTGACTTAACGAGGGCTGCATGCTTAGGAGCCACACATGGCTGCGCTGGTTAAGCACAAGCCTGGCTGGGCCAGTGATTCCCCGGAAGGGAGATGCTGGATACCACAGCCACCTGCTGGCCAAGGGACCACATGGAGACAGGCCCTCCATAACGCCCTGGGCTGAGGGGTGGCTGCAGGATGATAATGTGGATCAGGAGAGGGGTAACCAGCACACCTGCCTAAGAGCTCGCACCCTCTGCTGGGCTCATAGGTCATGGGGTGAGAGAAGCGGCATGAAGGCTCTTCGGAGGATAATGAGTCCTTGAATGGCTTTGTGTCCTGGAAATTGCTTATTTTCCTCATGTGGTGCAATTGAGGGACGAGGTTTCTCTTTCGACAAGAGAAGCTTCTGTGAAAAGTTCAGAGAGGCCCGGCCGATGTGGCTCAGTGGTTGAGCAAAGACCTATGAACCAGGAGGTCACAGTTCCATTCCTGATCAGGGCACAGGCCCAGGTTGCCGATCAATGATTCCCTCTCCTCACTGATGT